AAAAAGCACATTTGGTCGTTGAAAGTATAGGTTTTGGCGACTAAAAACGCATTGGTAGCCAAAAGTAAAGATTTTTGGCGACTAAAAAAATTTAGTAGCCAAAAGTATAGGTTTTGGCTACTAAAAATCTATTTGGTTGCCCATATATGGCTTTTACAGACTAAAAAAATTTTAGTAGCCAAAAGTAAGGCTTTTTGGTGTCTAAAAAAAAATTAGTAGCCAAAAGTGAGGTATTGGGTGACTAAAAGGATGTTTGGTCGCCAAAAGTGAGGCTTTTACCGACTAAAAAAATTTTAGTAGCCAAAAGTGAGATTTTTGGCGATTGAAAAAAATTTAGTAGCCAAAACTGAGGTATTGGAAGACTAAAAAGATGTTTAGCAGCCAAAAGTGAGGCTTTTTGGCAACTAAAAAGAAGTTTAGTCGCCAAAAGTAGTAATTTTAGCTCGGAAATTAAATTTTTTAACGACTAAAAATAATTAGTAGCCAAAAGTATAGAATTGACGACTAAAATTATGTTTAGTCGCCAAAAGTGGTCTCTTTTTTTTCTAGTAAATAATTTATTTTCACATAAATTATGTTCAATAAAAAAATAATTATCATTATATATACTATTATATTAATACGGGTCTATGTACTATATAAATAATATATGTTGCATATATAATCATATGGTATTATAGAGATGTAGGAAAAAGTGTGTTGTATAAGGTTTATGGTGTGAGAGGGTTGATGGTTCGAATCTCCACAAGAGCAAATGATAAGCTAGTGAGTGTAATATATATTTTTTATCCACATCTAAATGTTATTAATCACACTTGATTAATAGTATTTAGATCACACCTTTAAGTGTGATCTAAATATTTTTAATATGATTGAGAGCTTTTCAGAGAGCTTGACAAGACTGCTATTTCTAAAGTCAGAATTGGAAATGGAGCACATATTGCAGTAAAAGGCAAAGGAACAGTAGCAATTGAAGGCTGCACAGGTTTGAAATTAATTTCTGATGTTTTATATGTTCCGAAATTAATCAAAATCTTTTGAGTGTTACTCAGTTGTCGGAAAAAGGCTATAAAGTGCTGCTTGAAGACAAAAACTGTGTGATTAAAGATACAAAAGGCATAGAGGTGTTCAAAGTTCAAATGAAAGGCAAAAGCTTTGCATTGGACTTGATGAAAGAAGAGCAGGCTGCTGTACATAAAGATGATAGCAATACAGTACTTTGGCACAAGAGATTGGGGCATTTCTATCATGCCGCTCTACTTTTCATGAAGAAGAACAATCTAGTGAAAGGCTTGCCTGAATTAGAGGAGGAGCCTCCTACATGTGCTGTCTGTCAATATGGGAAGCAAACCAGGCTTCCTTTTCCACAAAACAAGGCTTGGAGGGCTACACAGCGGCTGCAATTAATACACACAGATGTGGTAGGACCAAAGAAAACACCATCATTGAATGGCAGTAAGTATTATATTGCTTTCATTGATGATCACTCAAGAATGTGCTGGATTTATTTTATGAAGCTTAAATCTGAGGTTGCTGACATCTTTTGGAAGTTTAAAGCTTGGGTTGAAACTCAAAGCGGATGCAAAATGCAGGTGATCAGGTCTGATAATGGAACTGAATATACCTCTGAAAAATTTAACAAGTTTTGTGAAGATGCAGGCATCGAACATCAGTTGACAGCACTTTACACTCCTCAACAAAATGGCATTGTGGAGAGGAAAAACCGGACAATTATGAAGATGACAAGGTGCTTTCTTCATGACAAAGGGCTACCAAAGAAATTTTGGGCCGAGGCTGTAAATATAGCAGTTTTTCTGCTAAACAGATTGCCAACAAAAGCTTTGCAGAAAAAGACTCCATTTGAAGCATGGTCTGGCTACAAACGTAAGTTGCTTAATTTGAAGACATTTGGTTGCCTATGTTTCTCTTATATCCCTCAAGTTAAGAGGGACAAGTTGGACAAGAAAGCAGAATCTGGGATTTTTGTAGGCTATAGCTCAATTTTAAAGGCCTACATGATCTACTTACCACAAAGCAACAAAGTAATTGTCAGTAGGGATGTTCAGTTTCTTGAGTTAGATAACTGGAGTTGGGAGAATGACAAGAAACTTGAGATTTAGGAGGAGAATAATGATGTGGATGATGAACCTATTAGAGGAACCAAATCACTCTCTGACATTTATCAAAGGTGTAATGTTGCGGTAATGGAGCCTGCAGGGTATGAAGAAGCTGCAACTGATCAGAAGTGGATAGTTGCAATGAAGGAGGAGCTAAAGATGATTGAAAAGAACCAGACATGGGAGTTTGTAGACAGACCTAAACACAAGAAAGCTATAGGAGTCAAGTGGGTTTACAGAACCAAGCTCAATCCTGATGGTTCTGTAAACAAGCACAAGGCAAGACTTGTTGTCAAGGGATATGCCCAGATGTTTGGGGTAGATTTTTCTGAAACTTTTGCTCCAGTTGCAAGGTTGGATACCATAAGGATGTTGTTGGCTCTTGCTGCACAAAAAGGCTGGGTTATACACCAAATGGATGTCAAGTCAGCTTTTTTGAATGGATACTTGGAGGAAGAAATTTTTGTGGAGCAACCTGAAGGGTTTGATTTTCAAGGACAAGATGAGAAGGTATGTCGACTGAAAAAAGCCCTATATGGTTTAAAACAGGCACCAAGGTCCTGGTATAGTAGAATTGATGCACACTTAGTGAACTTAGGCTTTGAAAAAAGTCTGAGTGAATCTACTTTATATATCAAGAAGGCTGATGATGAAATACTTGTAGTATCTCTGTATGTTGATGATCTACTTGTTACAGGAAGTAGTAAGGAGTTGATTGACAAGTTTAAAGAAGAAATGAAAGATGTCTTTGAAATGACAGACCTTGGGAGGATGACATTCTTCCTTGGTATGCAGGTACATCAAAAGCAAAATGAAAATTTTCTATGCCAGCATAAATATGCAAAGGAAATCCTCAAGAAATTCAACATGTAAGAGTGCAAGCCAACTGCAACTCCAATGAATCAAAAAGAGAAGTTTTGCAAAGAAGATGGAGTTGAAAAGGTGGATGAAAGGCTGTACAAGAGCCTAATAGGCTGCCTAATGTATTTAACTGCAACCAGGCCAAATATCATGCATGCAGTGAGCTTGCTATTAAGGTATATGCACTGTGCTAGTGAAATTCATTTTCAAGCAGCAAAAAGAATTCTTAGATATATTAAGGGCACAATTGATTCTGGAATAAGGTTCAGTCAAGTTAAAAACTTCAATCTCCATAGTTATTCTGATAGTGACTGGGCTGGATGTGTTGATGATATGAGAAGCACCTCATGTTACTGTTTTAGCTTTGGTTCTGGAATTTTTTCATGGTGTTCTAAGAAGCAAGAAGTCATAGTTCAATCCACAGCAGAAGCAGAATATGTAGCTGCTACTGCTGCTGTGAATCAAGCCCTTTGGATCAGGAAACTCATGATAGATTTGCATATGGAACAACAAGAAAGCACACAAATATGTGTGGATAACCAAGCTGCAATTTCAATTGCTAGTAATCTAGTGTTCCATGGCAAAACAAAACACTTCAAGATAAAGTTTTATTTGCTAAGGGAGGTGCAAAGGGAAGGAGAAGTGCAGCTGATCTACTGCAAAACAGAGAATCAAAGTGCTGACATCCTAACAAAGGCACTTCCAAAGATTAGATATGAATTCTTGAGGCAGAAGCTTGGTGTATGCAGCTCCAGAGTCAAGGAGGAGTGTTGACTGGCATGACCCATGAAGCTGAATCAGTTTCTATTCTTTAGGATTGACTGAATCAGTTTTAGTTGTTGCTATTCTTTAGGATTATGAAGATTTCCTCATGCTAATTTTTAGGCATTTAGCTGTTATGATCAACATGTAGCAGCTTTTTCTGCAAATTCAGTTTTCATTATGCTGTACAAATAAACAGCTTGTTACTCAATAAAATTAAACATTCTGCAGTCTCAAAAATTAGCTTCTTTCATTATCCTTAGTTTTTTGATTTCCTATAAAACCAACAGATTGGTATCAAGCGAGTGAGTGTAATATATATTTTTTGTCCACATCTAAATGTTATTAATCACACTTTCTAAGTGTGATTAATAGTATTTAGATCACACCTTTAAGTGTGATTAAAAATAGATCACAGTTAAAGGTGTGATCTAAATACTATTAATCACACTTAGAAAGTGTGATCTAAATATTTTTAATTACACTTAAAAGATGTGATTTAAATATTATTAATCACACTTAAAAGGTGTGATTAAAAATGACCCATTTTAATCACACTCCCAAAGATCACACTTTAATAAAACTTAAAAGGTGTGATTAAATAACATACATCACACACAAAAGTGTGATCTTTATCTATTTTTGTAGTAGTGCAATATGTAGAACTCGTCGAGTATTATATACTTATAAAAATTTACGTTGATCAGATATCAATAACTATTTTATTGGATTAGATTTTTGTTAATCGTTTATTTTTTCACCGTCCATTTTTTTAAATACAAAACTGATTTGATCACGTAACTATCAATATCCGATCAATGTAATTTTTTATAAGTACATAGTACTCGATAAGTTCTATACATTGAATGGTTTAAATTATCAAAATGGGATCCCATGGTGGGCCTCCATAGGCCCAACAACACTCTCTAGTCCGTGCCAAACCCTAATAGTTGTATCAAATAGTCTAACACATATTTATTTCTAAAATAAAATAAGATATAATTAGCTCATATAAGTTACATCAAACCTCACCATAGATTTATTATTATTATTTTAAAAAAAATATATGTATCGTACTATTTGATGCAACTTTTGTTCATGAGACATAAATAACTTATAGAAAATTAATTATTCAAAATAAGATATGCTTTTCATTTTATTTTTTTATTATCAACTTTCAGCTTGTTAGAAATTACATCAAACAATCCTATTAATCTTATAATTCAAGTTACGTATATATATTTATATTAGAAAATTATATTTATTCAAAATATAACAACAATATTTTATCAATTATCTTCCTTCTAACAAGAAGTATTGTTTGGAAAAATAACCATTTACAACTATTAAAAAAACAAATCTTATCAAATAAAATAAACAATTTAAGAAGATGAATCTGGATGAGACTCATGATTTAACAATCTCTCCTGTAATATACAACTGTAGTGAAGCAGGTGCCATTGACGTTGGCCCTTCAATTCATGGGACATGAGAAACACATGAGCTTTTTTCTACCTGCGTACAAAACTTCGTAATGTCTTACATTAAGTTAATGTAAACTAGTTTTCTGTCATTGATGGTGACAAACAATTTTCAAGCTACGACACTACTCAAATGCCATATTGCAAAAGTGACAACAACAATGTTGTTTTCTTTCAACAATGTTGTATATTTTCATCCATCAATAAAATCAAAAAATAATACTGTTTTCTTTCAACATTGAAGCATGTGTTTACCATCCTCGCTTTTTGGGATAGTATAGTCTAAACTATTTTTTTTTTTAAATTTTTTATGAGTAAATTACAATTTTATACTTTAACTTCTACATAAATTTTATTTTAATCTTGTAACTTTTAATTGTAATAATTAATTTTTCAATTTCCAACATGTATGTTAACCTGATCTTTTCTATCAATCTAACATTTATAGTTGAGTAAGTTAAAATATATGAATTCATAAATGAAGAGTAAAGTGATATTTACTAACAGTTGAGGAAGTTTTTGTGTAAATAACCATACCATTTATACTTTCTAAGAACAACTTTAATCATACTCTTTATTTTTTATTAGCTAAAATATAAAAAAAGTAATTTTTTTTTTTGCCTAATTCCTTTTTTATCTACATATTCCAATGTTACTATTTATTTTACCTGTTTATATATACAAACTATTTAAAGATCCTCTCAAAACTCTTCAAATGTAATTAGTCTGGAAATTTTTTGTTAAAATAGCTATTGTAATAACTAGGCTATTGGCGTGACTAAAATTAGGGGTGGGCACGGATCGGTTATGGTCACAGAATCTCCAATCCGCCATTTGTCCCCTAGATTGGCGGATTGGAGAAAATCATTCCGCAGTCGTCCGCCAATCCGGCAGATGTGAATTTAGCGGATTGGCGGATGGATACGTATCGGTTTGATAGGTTAAAATTTTACAAATTTCAACATAATTCAATTGTGCACTTCCTGAAAAAAAACAACCTGGGCATTGTGCACTTGCTTAACTAAAGTAAATCTTACATTTGACCACTTGCTTAACAGGTCTAAGTTTACCCCCTGTTCAACAGAACAACAGCCAAACACAAGGCATTGTGCACTCAACTGTTCCTCAATTTTCATTTTTCTTACTTATCGATTTCCACAGTTCTATACAATCATGATTTCACATTTACTTTCTTTTTTCACTTTTGGATGGAAAGTAATCTAATATTTTTCTATAAGTCCCTTACAAAATCCAATGCAAAGAACAAGAAAAAGAAACCAAACCTCTCTGGTTTTCGAACTGTAAGCTTCCTCTCTCTATGTGTGTAGAACCCTCACACTCTGAATCTCACCACCTCTCTACTTTTAGAACTGGAACAAAAAAAAAAAACAAATCAGAGATTGAGGAGAAGAGAGGAAAGAAGAACGGAAAATAGAGGTTTTTGAACTGGAACAAAAAAAAAAGAAAAAGATTAGAGATTAGATTACTTCAATCCTAACCCACATTTCAAATTTTTTCGTAAAAAAAAAAAAAAAAAAAAAAAAACAAATACAAAATTAAAAAAAGAAAAAAGAAAAAAAAAAAGAACAAATTAGAGATTGAGGAGAAGAAGAGAAGAAAAGGAAAGAAGAAGAGAAAAAGAGAAGAGAAGAAGAAGAAAGAAGAAGAAAAGAGAATATATCACCTCACCACCTCGATCGTCGATCACCTTTTAGTGTAGATCATCGCTCGTTGTTGGTCGGACGATAGAGAAGATCGCCGTCGCCGTCGCCATAGCCGTCAAAAGATGGGTAGGGTTTGGGGGGGAGAGAGAGACTGTGTGTGTGTGTGTGTGTCTCTATCAAAGAATGGGTCGATCGCCTTTTAGTGTAGATCGTCGCTCATTGTTGGTCGAACAGTGGAGAAGATCGCTGTTGCCATCGTTAGATGGGTATGGTTTTGAAAGGAGAGAAAGAGAGAGGAGAGAGAGAGAGAGTCTCTGTCGAAGAATGGATTAGGTTATTGTGTGAGATCAGAAAAGTGCTGGTTGAGGGAGTAAAAAATGTATATAAAAACAAAATGGAGAGTAGCGGGCGGGTTAGGTTCAATGGGTATAATAGCAGATCAAAAGCAACCAGAACCCGCAAAAACACAAAATCTGGACCCGCATCCTTCCTTTATGTGTCACGCATCCACCCAAATGTGGTCAAGTCCGGTCGGGTTGGACGGATTTAGCGGGTTGACAGATCTGCTACATAGTCCTAACTAAAATATAATAATATTAGCCATAATAACTACCAAGTACAATTTAAAGAATCTCTTGTGAAGTGAATTTTTAAGTTGCTTGGATAATGCACACAATAGACAAGGAAAATGAGCACAGAAGGATAGTGTGAAGTAAAGTTGGACAATAACGAATTTTTAAAAATAAGAATTATATAAGACCTGGTAAATTGCTTATCATAAGTCTAGTCACAGCGATGAAAAATTATTTGCTCTATACCATCATATTGTGTCACTTATTCTTATCTTTAAAAGTTAATACAAAAGTAATGAATTTTGTTGTCTTAATCAATAAAAAACTAATTTTCATCACATGAGTTTGTCTTACAATCATAATATAATTTTCCAGTGAGATAACAAGGCACAACACTCAAACAATTAGGACATCACATGAATTCGCCCTATAATCAAAATATAATCTTCTTCTTCTTCTTCTTCTTCTTCTTCTTCTTCTTCTTTTTTTGTATTATCTCTCAAAAGTCAATGCAAGTATAATGAAACCAATAAAAACCTAATTAAGATTCCACAAAAATTTACTCCACGGTCATAATATAATTCTCTAGAGGGTTGGTTATTCAGTATTTTAAGAATATGGACATATGGTGCTCCATAAAGTTTTGATTGGTAGAGAGAGGTAAGAGTCCACGATTTATGCTAGGAATAAGAGAACAACATGGGGGCTAAATAATTGGTGATTGGCTTGGAGTATGGCCATGTGATGATTTGGGATTATTAAATAATTTCCCTTCTCGAGAGACACCAATACACAACTGTTGGCTTTTTTGGCTTTCGAAGGTTAATAATGTAAATTTTAGCGTGCCAATAAGGATCAATTTGTCCTTATAGAATATTAATTGCTAACCAATTATCAGATGATTGTGTTATAATTCTTTTAGCATCAATGAAGAGAACTTTTACTGGTGGCTTGTTTAAGAGAAATTAGTAAACAATAATAAGTGAAGAACAATTTCAAAATCTGAATTTCATTAAGTAAATGAAAACTTACAATGATCTAATCCAGCCTCATAGAGGTTCACAGTAACAAACTATTTGAAACTACTCCTAGGAATGAAGTGCAGTATAGGAATTGAAGTGCTAGAAATGTAAAGAACTGGAAAGTGTAACATTGGACAGAAAATGAAGTACATAAACTGGTTTTTTGATCTGAGTCTGAGCTTTCATTCTGAGGCATTCCTTGCTATTTATACTTCTCAGTGGTAACCGTCGAAGTAGGTTTCTAACCGTCGAAATGCCCTCCCATGATTACTGAACATGTTCTCTCATAGTCAGTCCCACTATGCCACTCTTGTAGTTAGGCTTCCCTCCTGATTTTGAATTTAAACTTTATGAGTAACCGTTAGGCCACATCATCATCTTATATCTCTCGATTGTTCTAGTGCTACGCAAATCCATTATTACCAATACGAACTGCCACGTGTCCCATTTTGATTGGCAACTTGTATTAACTCTCCAAATTGCCCTCTTCGTGCCACGTATTAAATTGTGATTGGCTTTTATAAATTATACAGCCAACATTATCCCCTACACTAATATACCTAATACTTGGTGATATTAGTGAACTGGTGCAATCTATCCATGTTCTAGGACGTGCATGGACTCTGTATATTCTGAAAGTATAACCGTTTTTTGAATAATGAAGCAGTGAACTTCATTAAATTCTTGTGCTTTGCACTTCTATTCTTTGAGTAGTCGAAAAGTCTGGTACATCTCCAATAGCCAATCACACATTCTCTTACATTGATCGAGCATACGAGGAGTCTTTGGAAGATGATTGTAGGCCTCGAAAGAACCTTAATGCATTTATTAGTTACTCTTATCCACCTCCATTTATACAAGTCATGGAAGCTTTTGCAAATTACCAACCTTTAGACCAAGAATCTGCCAACTACAAATCTTTGGACCAAGCATTTGCAGGAATGGATCTTGGAAGCTCCTTTTCTGCTCTACCACTCTCCGCATGGGACAAAGCCGTTTGTTCTTCCTCCCAGTCCACTGGCTGGGAAAGTTGGTCAAAACCTGATGAACCCCAATTTAGGGGAGCAGATTCATCATCAATTTGTTGAATTCGATGATCCCCTTTCTGTTCCTCCTTCTACTCGGAGCTCAGTGGTTTACCCCTATATACCCATTAATCACCAACGCAGTCTGGAGGACTGTGACAACCCTCACTTCTGATTAGTGATAATCTCTGATTAAGCATGATAAGTAACTGATTAGGATGAAATCCTAAATTGATTACATGAGTATATTGTTTGTAATTGCATTTCTATCTATTTGACTATAAAATGATCTGTTCATGTTTTAATTTCGAATTTGCGAATTGAAGGTCTTATCGGCGACCGAACCAGAAATTGATTAGTGTTATATGCTAGTTAGAATTTATGTGATTTTATGGTAGGTTTAATTAAAATTTGATTTGGAATGATTAAATTAGATTAAATAATGTTGAATTACATTAGTTGTGTTTACTACATAATTGCCACTTAGTGGATTTATTCAAGGCTCATTCCTTCTCACACATTACACTTGTTGACACACCACTATTCTTCATATCATCTTTTCCATTTGGAGACCAAACCGTGAGACAGAAGAGGGTGAGAGGAGAGTTGGTTTTATCAAGAATTTGACTTGGAGAAGTAGGAGGAATTGAAGAGGACTTGCAAAATTGGGCTTCCATACCTTGAAATTCAAGACCTAAGGTAGAGAATTCATCCTTTGGTTTATGTAGTTAAATTGTTTCTTGCATGGTTCATGGTAAATTAGTGATCTAAGTCAAGAATTGGTTTAAAATGTTGAATTGAGAGTTAATCCTTGCATGCATGTGCATTTTCTTGAATTTTGGAGTTGTTTCATGAGAAGTTCCACATGCAAGTTCATATTTTTGTTATGGTCCATGAATTTATCTTGATTTTGAGCTCAACATTGCATTTGATCTTGTTTTGAAACACTAGAGTTCATGAGAACTCATGCATGTATGATCTTGCAATATTCTTCGTGTTTACACTTAATTTTTGTGTTCAATTGGCTTATCTTTGGGCTTGATTTTACAAATGATCTTTAAAAACATGTTATACTATGAGTTTTCAAGAGTTTTCCAGAAAATTAGCCCAAGGGGATCGAATTTGAAGATTTAAAAGTTGAATTTCATGCTTGAGGTTCAATCTGAAAATTTCAGATTTTGGACCCACGCTCGAGCGTAGGACTTCACGCTCGAGCGTGCACTTTGAGTACATGCATTTATGCTCGAGTGTAGGAAGTCACGCTCGAGCGTGAAATGCATATGCCCAGAAGTTCATGTGTTTTACAGTCCGCTTGAGCGAAAGACTTCACGCTCGAGCGAGGACCTGAGTCTTACGTTCGAGCGGAGGTCGAGCATCCGTCGAGCGTAAATTGCATGCATCCAGTACTTTTCTTGAATTTACAGTCTACTCGAGCGAGAGAAGTCACGCTCGAGCGGGGATCCTTTGTCTGCATGTCGCTCGAGCGTAGAAAGCCACACTCGAGAGTGGACCCCCGTTTCAGCAAATTTTGAAAAGTGTTTTAAAATGCATCCTTGCATCCTCTTTCCATCCTGGGCATTCCTAGGCCATGATTAAGGCATCTTATTGAGGATATTGATATAGAACCACACCGAGTCAAGATAGGGACTAAGTTGTTGATTCCCAAGTGTGTAACTTAGTGTGTGTTCGTTCTGTAACTGTGTAGGGTTGGCATCCGAGGACGTTCATTAGCTGCTTATAGCCCAGTGCTCTGTGAGTAACAATGTTGTAAAGATATGTTCAATTATGATTATTTTCTGAATGATCGACTGTTCTGCTTACTGAAACGTTATTGTTTAATGAATGAATGTTTGTCCTATTTGTAAACTGTATTCGTGGCATCCATAGCAATTTACTGTTACTGTACTATTACTACTACTGACACAGAGATCTCTGTTGGTTCCCATGTTTGGAACCACTACTGTTACTGTTATGATGGCCATCGACTAACTGTTCGGTCTGTTAAGACCTACTGTACTGTCTTGCTATGGGATGCACCACATATGACTGCTATGGTTTCTAAGTGATTGATATGACTGTTTAATTACTAAAAAGACATTTATTCTTAACCTCTTTACATAACTGTTATTCACTGGGCTTTAGCTCACTGTTTATATATATATATATATATATATATATATATATATGTGTGTGTGTAAGTGTCCAGGCACCGAACTGGAGCTAGGAGCGTCGGATTAGCTCTTGTTTTGTCAAGCCAACCACCGTGCCTCACCTCGAGGTTCTAAGTCTGTTCAAGCTACGGCTGTTTTGGGGTGTTCGGATTCACCCTTCTGTTTCTATTTTGTAATAGATGTTATAGACTCCTACTGTACAGTTATGGCATAGGGATTGAATCCCTAACTTGTATGTATGTATATCCGATATGTAAATGTGTTTTGGTTACAAATGTGACTTGTTCACAAAAGTCTTTTTGCATTCAGACTGTCACAGCTCATTGGACACCTTTTATTTATTGTTTTGGCTTCCGCCAGCACCTTTACTCTGTATTACTGTTATTACTGTCAAACAGGCCTTCGGTAATTACGGATTACTGGCCAGTTACGGTGCTAAACCCATAGGGGCGGGTTTGGGTCGTGACAGGACAACTTGCTTGTGGCGTGGTACACGTCTTCCATACCAGCAAAGATAGTGCAAGCAACTCTTCATCCGAGACTAGCAAGGTCCAGTGATTTCCATCTATTGACT